AGGGAAAGAGGTTACAAAGAAGTAGAGTGGGAGAGTGACTCATTACATGCTAGGTATTGATAATAGAGATTATAATAATTTTGTATTTAGTTTGTATGGACAACTCAACTGATTGTAGAGGTAAAATTTATTATAAAAATTAAATTAAAAGTTAAGTCATTATGGTCGATGATTCCACCTTTTGTCACAAGTAATATTGTATTTGATTTTAATTCTATAAATAATAATATATTTACCTTTAAGATGCTCTTACTCAAATACTTTCTTTCAATTTCATATACAATTCACAACTTTTACCTCTCAAGTCTAAACCTAGCTAGCTAGCTCATATGACACGGAAAGTTGTTGAATAAAACTGAAACAACACAAATTATAATAAAATTTTAAAGAACCAAAAATTTCGATAGTTGATATCAAGTGTCACATTATTTGGCTATTTGTATATTGAGCCTACTTACTTTTGATAAGGGTGTGATAGCTTGAAAATTTGAAAAATAATGGAATAAGGTTCAAATTGGCCACTGAACGTAACCTGAAAATGCAATTAGGCCACTGAACGAACAAAAAGTGCAATTAGGCCACTGAACATTCCAAAAACGTGCAATTAAGCCACTGAATTCTCCAAACGTATGCAATTTCACCGGATAGCAGGTTACCATCAATTTTAGCAGGTTACCTGCTTACGTGGCAGCTGAGTTGGCATTTTTAATAATTTTTAAATAATTTTTAATTAATTTTAATAATAAATTTTATAAAAAATTGAAAAATAAATTAAATAAAAAATAAAATAAAGGCGTTTTTATTTTTTTAAAATTTTTTTAAATAAAAATTTATTATTAAAATTTATTAAAAATGATTTAAAATTTATTAAAAATGCCAACTCAGCTGCCACGTAAGCAGATAACCTGCTAAAATTGAGGGTAACCTGCTATCAGGTGAAATTGCACATTTTTAGAGTGTTCAGTGGCCTAATTGCACTTTTTTTTCGTTCAGTGGCCTAATTGCATTTTCAGGTTACGTTCAGTGGCCAATTTGAACCTTATTCCAAAAATAATTTATGAAAATTATTTTTTGAGTTTTCTTGTTTTTAGATGTGTCTGAAAAATCATGTCAACGGAAATCATTTTTTATTGACTTTAGAAAATATGATTATTTTGGAGGAAAATGACTTCCGTTAAAAAGTTGGCTGAAGTCATTTTCCACAGATCAAGTCAGTTCACAATCATTTCGGACCTTGATTCCCAGCAGAAAACATAGCTACTCTGGTTTTCAACGGGAAACCAACTGAGCAAACCAGAACAGCTCTGGTTTTCGATGAATAGGGATGGAAATATGCCCCGTCCCTGAAATTTTTTAAAAAATAAAATTATATATATTAGGAATTAGGAATTATATTATTTGTTATTTAGTTTTATTATATTATAAAACTTTATGACTATTCATGTATTGCGAGAAATGTTTGAACAATTAAGTAACTTATTTTGTTTTCTTATAAGTAACAAAAATATTGATTTTGATTAGTATTACATTTTTCAATATAAGTATTACATTTTTATATTGATCTGATTGGTATCACCAACAAGGAGACTGATAAAATAGGGGTAAGGAGTAGAAATGAAAAAAGTAAAAAATGAGAGAAAATTTTAGGAGTCTAACTAATATTTTTCTTTAATTTATTGCCATATCTCCTACACAATGTAAAGTAGTGGTGACAATGTAGAGTAATTAGTACTACTTTACATACACTACATCTACCCATCTATATAACTTACCCTGCCCAGTGCCCAACTGCCCACATATAGACAAAATTCATAGGATTTTCCTTTTAAAAAAATAATTAAAGCTAAATATGCTGCATTCTATAGAAATTCATCATATGAGTTAATTCTATATATTAGTATACTATATATCAATAATTTTTTTATTAGTATAAAATAATATATGTGTTTGGAAAATTTTAATTGAGATTATTATTATTATTATTATTTTAAACACAAAAGTACAATTATATCCCAAATTATATTTTTAATAATTTCAATAAAAAAATACTTTTTCCTCTGTAAAATTTTTGCTTATATGATCAAAAGAAATTATATAGTTAATATGTTTATTATAAATAATTAAATATTTAGTATAAATTATAATTTTATAAACATTTTTTGATGTAAATACTAAATAGTAATATTTTACTAGATAAAAATACAATGGTGTGAAATTTAGGGTAGAAAAAGGCAATGCAATTCCCCCAATGCCCCATATGTTGAATGTTGACCATGCTCTGCATAGAAATATATTCCCAACATCTTTTTCTTTCAAAGATATGGATCATAAAGCTATTCAGAGTACTATCCTTGTTGGAATTGCTCTCTCAACTACCAATCACACTACTATTTATTGCTATCTGCTGCCATACACCAACTTCCCATAAACCTTCCAAATATTTCACAATTTTTTATTTTTTTTTCTGGCTGGTGCCTGGGAGCTCTCTACACCAAGTTCCCATAATAACTACTACTCCGTACTACATTTATTGGACAGAACATGGACCGTTGTACAATATTGAGCTTAATTGTGGTTGGATTAACAGAATATTAATACATAAATTAAATAAAGAAGTGCATGGGGAAATAATACATAAATTAATATAATTTTAGCTCGAACTTGATTAGTTTAATATAAAATATAGGGAAAATGACACTTTTTCCCCCTAAGTTATATACTTATAGCACTTTTTCCCCCCAATTATTTACGTAAGCACATTAGCCCTCTCAATTATTTTAAAAGTGGTGATTTTTCCCCCTGATATATTAAATTGACATTTCTACCCTTAAAGTAAACATTTTATTTATTTTACTTCTCCAACAAATTATTGTGTATATGTAGCAATGATCGCAGTTCGGTTCAAACTGAATCGGACACTATAGCAATCGAATTAAAAATTTTCGGTTATGATTCAGATCTAGAATCCAATATTTAAATTTCAATTTATTAAATTTATGAACCAAAAAAACTGGATCATGAACCGTGAACCGGCGGTTCCGGATCCGGTTCGTGATTTTGAACCGTCTTTATTTTAACATTTTATTTTATTTTAAAATAGTCTAAATTCAACAATAAATGTATTTTATTTTTTCAGTTCGGAACATGAACCGGCCATTCCGATTTGCGATTTTAATAAACTTTAAATATCGCGTTTTGATTCTAAATTGTAATTGGAATATTTTGGTTTGGTTGTTATAGTATCTGTTTGGTTTGAACCAAATTATAGTAATAGTTTGTTGGAGAAGAAAAATAAATGAAATATTTATTTTAAGGGTAAATATGTTCATTTAACATTTTAGGGAGAAAAAGAGCCACTTGAATAATTCATAGAGAAAAAGTGTTATAAGTATATAACTCAGGGGGAAAAAGTGTTATTTTTCCTAAAATATAACTTGTAATGTAAATAATAGTTTTTGTTAACATTAATTTTAAAAAAAAAAATGAATTTATGTTAACATTAATTATATTACTAGTTTTATTTTGATTATTTTATTGAAACCTTTTTTTTTTTTTTAGAGTGTTATTTGATTATTATGTGAACTTATTATCTATGATGTCTCTAAATTTGATTAACTCGTAGTAGACTCCATAACGGTGGGTGGGATGGAGTATGAAGAGTCCTTGGTCGGGGAAATTTTTTTATCATTTTTTTGAAAGGTTGATAAATGTAGCTTTTGAGGTGAACAAATAATGAAAGTGGAAATTTTTTGTATATAATGCATAGAAATGAGGAAAAAATAGGAAGGATAAGAAGCATTTTCCATAAACAAATTAACCATATAATTTCTTTTGATCATATAATAAGCAAATTAAATTTTAAGAAAGAAAAGAGTTACTCCCAAATTCTATTTTCTCACTTGTACTCCATTACAAATAAAGATTGACTATTTTCATTATATAGATCCTAAAAAAAGTGTCTACATCAAGAAATTAATTGTGAGTAAGACATACATGTAATATTTTCCAAAAGGAAATTGTGGATGGCGTGAGGAGAGAGATGCAGGACACGTTAGTTGTTTACTGGAGAAAAACGAGGAGAGAACCCATGGTGGCCTACCTGGCACTCTTCTTTTTTTTTTTTTTTTTTTTTTTCACAAGTGGACAATTGTGAATTCTCGTGAAGTTTGTTGGCACCATTCTTCCCTTTGCAATCTGGCTCCACACTCTATCTCACTCATTATAATAAGAGATCGATCTCCTCCGCAACTAAAACTCATAGAATATCCTTTCCAACTTCCTCATTCTTATCATAATCCTTCGTTCCTTTGCTTCTTCCTCGGAATAAGGTTCAAATTGGCCACTGAACGTAACCTGAAAATGCAATTAGGCCATTGAACGAAAAAAAAAAAAGTGCAATTAGACCACTGAACACTCTAAAAATGTGCAATTTCACCTGATAGCAGGTTACCCTCAATTTTAGCAGGTTATCTGCTTACGTGGCAGCTGAGTTGGTAGGTTTAATAAATTTTAATTAATTTTTAATAAATTTTAATAATAACTTTTTATTAAAAAAAATTTTTAAAAAATAAAAACGACTTTATTTTATTTTTTATTTAATTTTTTCTAATTTTTTATAAAATTTATTATTAAAATTAATTATTAAAAATTATTTAAAAATTATTAAAAATGCCAACTAAGCTGACACGTAAGCAGGTAACCTGCTAAAATTGATGGTAACCTGCTATCCGGTAAAGTTGCATACGTTTGGAGAGTTCAGTGTCCTAATTGCACATTTTTTGAGTGTTCAATGGCCTAATTGCACTTTTTTTTCGTTCAATGGCCTAATTGCATTTTTAGGTTACGTTCAGTGGCCAATTTGAACCTTATTCCCTTCTTCCTCACAAACCAAACTTGTTCTTTCTTATAAATTCTTTCCACATCCCCGAATTCATAGCATCACCAAATTAAACTCCACATTCTTGGCCACCCAAACTTCAACTCTCTTTCTTAAATTCTTTAGTTTCTCCAACTGCTCTCCTTATTTCCTTCCACACTCTCAATCTCTCTACTCTTTCAACTTATTCAATGCCACTAAAATTTGGTAAGATTTTACCTTATATCTTCTCTCATCTATCTCTAAAATTTTTCTCTTGCTTCTTATTACTTTTCCTTGTTTTTCTTCATTTTCCATATTTTTCTCTCATATCTAAAATTTGCATTTTAATTTTGGTTTTGCTTTTCTTGTTCATATTTTCACTGTTTGGTTTTCTTTGAATACAGGTTCTTGTAAATATTTCTTCAATTTTAAGGATGTGGTTAAACTAAAGATTTTGGAAGCTAGGAAGGAATCAATATTCACGATCGCGATTTCTTTGTATAATTTAAGGTAATTTATATATTTATATTTGTTTTTATGAGTTCATATGTAAACATATCAATTTTTTTTTTAAGCTCATTGCATTTTAAAAATATTTTTGTGCATTAGTATCATTTAGTGCAAAAACTAAGTTTTACATCACAATAATTATGATGTTAGCCTTTTGGTTATATATATTAACTACTTACAGTGTTTTGCATTTCTATTGATGTTTCATCACCAAAAAGTAATCATTTAACCTCAAAAACAATGAAGACAAGCCAAAACTCAACAAACAAATATAGGCAAAAAGTATGTTCATTTTGTGCATTATCATCAAGGGACCATTTTACTTATTAACTAATATAATGCCCTTTCCTCTCTAAACTGCATGCCCATACTTAAGGAGATTTTCCCAGCAGACAAATTGCCTGCACGGAAATCACAAAGGCCAGGGGGTCTTCAAATCCATCATACACTATCTGAAAAATACACACAGATAACACTAGAAAGACAACACTTTTTAACAAAAGTGTTGTCTTTTGTATAAACGACAACAATTTGGTTCAAAACTGTTGTCTTTGATGCAACACTTTTGTCAAAGACAACGGTTTTTAGTAACCGTTGTTATAAGTGTGTTGTCTTTGTGCAATTTGACAAAAAAAACACTCCAACGACGACGGTTTTTAGAAACCGTTGTCTATGTGCGTTTTTTTTTTTTTTTTTTAACAACGGTTTTATTTAACCATTGCCTTTGATATGTTGTCTTTAACTGTTACTTGAATAAATAACACTACAAAGACAACGGTTTTAAAAAAACCGCTGTCTTTGCGCATTATTATTTTTTAAATGACAACGGTTTTATTTAACCGTTGTCTTTGATATGTTGTCTTTTAAGTGTACTTGAATAAACAACACTACAAAGACTACGGTTTTTTAAAACCGTTATCTTTGTGCATTATTAGTTTTTAAACGACAACGGTTTTATTTAACCGTTGTCTTTGATATGTTATCTTTAAGTGTACTTGAATGAACAACACTACAAAGACAACAATTTTTTTAAACCGTTGTCGTTGCGCATTGTTATTTTTTAAAAGACAGAGGTTTTATTTAACCGTTGTCATTTGTGTGTTGTATTTAATAGCACTTGAATACACAACACTACAACGACAACGGTATTATAAAACCGTTGCCGTTGCACAAACTATTTTTTATTTAATACAACAGTTTTATTTAACCGTTGTCTTTGGTATGTTGTCTTTAAGCGTACTTGTATAAACAACACTACAAAGACACCGATTATAATTTTTGGTATGTTGTCTTTAAGCGTACTTGAATAAACAACACTACAAAGACACCGGTTATAATTTTATAAAATTAAGGATGTATAAAAACCGTTGCCCTCCAACGTTTTTATTACACTACAAAAACCGTTGTCTTTGCGCATTATTATTTTATAAAAGACAACAGTTGTATAAAATAAAAGTGAGGATGTTACCAACAAGAGTTAAACACGGTTTTATAACATAGGTTAAGGATGTCACCAGGAAGAATAAAACCCAAGACCTCTAACATAACAAACAAGGCTAAACCCACCAAGTCACACCAACTCTTGTTTATTAAAGTGTTCACTACAAGAAAAATGCACATAGACAACGGTTTCTAAAAATGCACTTAGTTTTTGCACTAAATGATACTAATGCAATAACCGTTGTCGTAAGGTAAAATTTCTGTTGTTGAAGTCGGTCTTGTTGTAAGTCCCGCGCATAGACAACGGTTTTTAACTGTTGTCCTTTCTAGAAACAACAACGGTTTTTTAACCGTTGTCTATTAAGTGTTGTTGGTGTTGTTATAAGTCATGCACATAGACAACGGTTTTAAACCGACTACCATTGATTCAATAGAGATAGTAAGTATTATACCTTTTTTTTTTGACTTATCTTATTTACTTTTAAATGGTTAAATAATTTCATTTTTTTTCTTCTTATTTTCTATAATTTTTAAATTTTTTGGTTTTAGGTTGTGGCTGGGGATCTCTCTGGTGCCTCCAGCATTGAGGCATCACTTCCCGCCAACAATGAGATAGAAATTGTCTCTACTACTCCAGCTTCCTTTGTAAGTTTTAATTTTTTTAATTTTTTTTTTAATTTTTAAAATAAACTATCATATAAACATGATTAATTATTATATTTTGATTTTCAGGAGGTTGGAGAGCAACCCAATATCACTGCTCCTGAGCCACCATCAGTAGAGTCTGTAAGTATTATCCTAATTTTATTTTATTTTATTTCTGTAATTTATTATAAAATGGTCAAACAAACTTTAAAAAAAAAAAAACTTGTTTTCTTTAATATTTTTCATAATTTCTTAAACTTAACTTCTATATTTAATATTATTTTTAATATAATTTCTAGATACATGTTTTGTTAACATAAAAATATTAATAGTTATTTCATTTTCAATTAGTAATTGTATTAGTTTCGTTTCAGGATCGTAGAGGCGATTAAGTGCTTGTGTGGTTGGTATGTGGGATTGCGATAGCTTATGGGGTTACGCATATTATTAATAATATCAGCACCCTCAAAGAAGACAAGAGTATCGTGCCATGGCTTGGTATGTTGTGGGGTCTGGGACTTTGTTTTAGCAGTCTCTTATTCTTTTGGGTAGTTACCCTTGATTGGAGCAAATATAATGTTGATGAATAAATTAGTCAGCTTTTGTCCTAGTTTTATGACATTTATTCACAGGTGTAGCACATGCAAAGGCTCTCCTTGATTGTAGGAATATTTATCTTGTTTACGTTAATGTAATTCTTATATAAAAGCTATTCAACAATGATAATGCAGTACAGTATTCTTCCAATATATCTTCCTCTGTTATACTGCTTGTCCTCTATTATACTGCTTTCAAAATTCAAATGTTTGAGCCTCCTCATATACATATTGCTGCCCCCAACTCATAAGTTATCATGCATGGCGTTTGTATGCGCTAGCAGCATTGCATTTTTTTTTTAGACACGACAAAATCCACAAAAATAGAACAAAACCAAGATTGCTTTTATCCCAAAATCCTAATTGCACATATGTATTAGGTTTATTATGAATAAATTTAAATTAATGAGAATTTTAGTATATATATATATATATCCTCATTCCTTCCTAACTCAGTAGCCCCTTCCCTCTCGAATATGTTCGCATGGGTATTCTTAGAACAGTAGTCCCTCACTCCTTACTCCTCTCTCCCTCCTTTTTGGTCGAAACACCATCACTCCTTTATATTTCATCAAGATTATAAAAAAATTTAGGGGCGTTCTATACAAATAAGACAACGATTAATAAGACAAATTGATTAAAATGTCAAAAGCCCAAAATTAATAATAAAACAAAGGAATGTGTGATTACTTAAAAAATTAATCCCATAAGATACAATTCTATACCAAAATTAAAGAGATAAAAGAAACGAAACTTTTTCTCCAGCTCCGATCCGTTAAACGGAGCTATGTCTCCTTGGGTGTCAGAAAACTGCCTCCATCTCCCATGGGAGACGGAGTTGGTTTTTGATTTGCCTCTGCCTCCTAGATGGTGGAGATGAAACAAATTAAGCTCCATTGATGGCAACGTTTGATGGATATATTGTGATATGCAATTGATCATGATCTAACAAATATTATCAAGCTAGTTAGAAGAGTCCCAGAAATTTGAAGTTCTTTCAAGTTTCCTCCTTTCTAATTTCACCCTATGATATATCAAACATGTAAAATATTTTCATCAAAACACAACATTATCATTACCAAGTATTTGATTGCATTTTCAATAACTAAACGCACCCTTAATTTCCCTCTTTATTTTAATCTTATACGACTTCTCCTATCCAAGTGTCTATTGTTTTAACATTTTTGCTCATCATATAGATGCAGTATATCACTTGGCCTCTACAAAGACGGTATCATTTCAATCTACGATGATATTTTTTTGTAGAACGATATATATTGACAAATATCACTAATATTTACTCTCACGATTGAATTTGTTGAACAACCAAATTCAATTATATTGTTACATGCATGCACCCTCATTATTGTATTTCAAAAATTCATATCCAGTTACCATGTTGTTTTGGTAAAAGATCGAAAAAAAAAAAAAAAAAAAAAAACTTTTAAAAAAGTAAACTTAGTTTCATGAAAGTGTTATCTAGTTTCTATAAATTTTGTCAGTAGAGTCAATTTTATATGTACATATTCCGAGATAATTCATGCCATGCGTAGGAATGATGTACATTTAAAAAAAAAAAAAAAAAAAAAAAAAAAAAAAAAAAAAAAAAAAAAACTAGCGTAGTAGCGTACGAATATTTATTTATTTGTGCAATACTATACTTCATTGAATTCCACAAAATTGTATAACATATAGAATATCAAATAAAACAAGGAAAAATTGCATCTTCAGCTCCTGAGTTATAATCAAATTTCGATTCAATTTCTAAGTTATGGCAGTATCCGAGTTTAGTTCTTCAGTTATGAGTGAAGTGACGAGTGTGGTCTCTAGCGTTAATATTCCGTCTGCAACTAACAAAAAACTTAAAAACAATTTAATAATAGAGGGGTAAAATAAGAATTTCAAATTATAATCCCCTTCTTATGTTGAAACTTATTGCGCAAGAATCATTCTTTTCTTCTTATACCTACAATCGAATGTCTTTTTCTTCCTCAAACTTTGAAATATCAAATTCGTCCACTTCCAAACTGCGAAATTCACAAGTAAGTTATTTCTCTATTTTATATGTTTACATAAATAATCAATATTTCCCGTATTGATGAACTAATTTAGCCTTAATTATAGGATGTCATCTCTTAGTTGTGGTACTTTATCTTTTCCTCAATTTGAGGATAATTTTTTTATGTAGATGTGATGATTTATTACCCATCAAAATGTCATAGAATTATGCTAATCGAGGAAAAGGATACCAAGCTTGTCCTTGTTATAGAGCAAATTTTTGTATTTGTAAAAAAATTGTAATTTAAGTTGTTGTTTTTTTAAAATAGAATTGAAATATTGAAATTTTATTTTTTAGAAAAACGGGAGTAGAGTTCCTTCGTTGATTACATAAGCAACTTATGGCTTTTGTCGATTTGGAGAAAGTATTTTGGCTAAGTTTACAAGTTTTATTAAGAAATTTATTTATTTGTCAACACACCACTAGCGCCAGAAATCAAACTTGCCACTTTTCTCATAATTGAGGAACTAAAAATAAATACGGTAATAACATAGGGACTGAGTCATCACTACAGTTATAACTCACGACCAAACTCTCCATTTTCCCATAAAACAATATATGATAACTAGGAAAGTGATAAATTCATAGATACAGAACAAGGGCCTCGAGGGTGACCACGAGAGCCCGTCTCCAAGCCCGAATGGTGGGGCCGTGACTTGGTTTCACAGTCCACCCTCAATTTAGGGTGTTTGTTGGACCATTTCTTTTATGTCCTAATCTATTAGACAATATCTTGTCATCTCTTTACACAAGAAACATTAATACAAACGCGTTGTCTCTCGACCATTATACTTGTCTTTATGTATTTTCTTTTAATTATTGAATTTAGTTAATTCGGACTTCATGTTAATTAATTATTACAAGTCCAAATCGGAGTTTCAATGTATCATACAAATATTACCAACCGATTATGTCAATCATTACACAAAATGTTGAATATTATAACTAGCCAAGCAAATTTTTTTTTTTTCCACTTCATGCTCCGCTTGCACATGATCCAAGAACTCATTCTTTTTTATCGCACGTGGAGACCCATTTATTCTTTAATTTATTTTGTGAGCATCATTACTATTTAATTTGTTGCTTAAGGGATCTTCTTCATGCTGACGACAGAGGAGGTTTCATCCGTAGAATCACTTGATGGGGGTTCTCCGCTCTCGCCCCTTTCGCTGCACACACACACACACAAAAACTATTCAATTTGTGTAGAATTACAAGTTGATTTTGTTACGAGAAGAATAGATCGAATTAGAAGTTTTATTTTACACCGATACAATAACTTGTCATAGATATTTCGAATATATGAAGTTAATTCTCAAAATGGTCCTCCGACTATGATCTTTTCTCAAATTGGTTCCTTGACTTTTAATTGCACCCAAAGTGGTCCTTCGACTATTGAATTTTAAGCCAAAATGGTCCTCCGTTAATTTGGTGTTAAGTGGGTGTTAAAATGAGGGGTAAAACTAGTAATTTGGGATTTTCACTATAGTCAAATGACTACTTTGAGTGCAATTAAAAGTCAAAAGATCAATTTTGAAAAAAGACCATAGTCGGAGGACCATTTTAAGAATTTTTTCTTTATAGTTCAAACATGATTTGTACTCATTTTGATTAAAAGGGGATGATAGTGTACTTATTTTCATTTTCTACATAAACAATCCGTGAGATTTTTTTATTTTTTTTAATGAAATGACATCGTTATGCAACCGTGTGCACCATGCATGGTGCACACGGTTGCACAGCATAACAATTGATCATATCCTATGTTTAAACATGCAACCTAACTTTACTTTAGAATAGGATCCATGAGCCCCCTTAAAGATTGCACTCCAATTGTTATGTTATGTGCATCGCCCCTACCTGGGAGTCTTGTGAAGGGTACCACAACAACAATACAAATTTAGAGATATGAGTAATTATGTAATAAGCTAAGGAAGGGTTCATTCCAAATCACTTAACAATACAATAATGTTTTTTCAATTTTGGGTCCCAAGTTCAAAATGATCCGATCCAGGTTTTGCTGTTTTCAACTATCTAATCCAAAAGAAAAGAAAAAAAAAATATATATATATATATAATAACAAATAGTGGAGTTGTTATCTTTGGAGTAATTAAACATGAAGAAGATGGATGCATTAATTACACATGCATGACAAGTCATTTGCATCAACTGGTTCATCATTGAATGAATGTGTGAAGAAATAGATGAGAGTTGGGTATTGTTCATGCCTTTGCGGTGGGATCTTTACGAACTGCAGTATTGACCTGTTTGGAGAGATAAGCTTCATAGAGTTCTACAACAAGCCTGGGATCCTTCTCCACCAGTTCTTTGTATTCTTCTCGCTTGCTCAGCTTGTCCATGTTGTCCATGATCAATGCCAACGCTGCATCGAGCAAGTTCTTTGCATTGTGCTGGTGAGCAAACGCAAAGTTTACAAGTGAGTTCTCCCAGTTCAGCTTCGATATTAGAAACTTCTCACAGTAGGTCTTGAGATGTTTGACTTGGTACTTTTCAGCCAAAACTAGAAGGTCACAGGCCATGTTCTCATCTAGGCATGCTTCCGCAGTGTACAAATAATTCACAAAGGCTCGAAGAGCATCATATGATACATCACTAATTTTAATTGTGCCGCTCAAGCTTTCTTCCATCTCATTTTCAAGCATTGCTCTGAATACTGGGGACCGACTCGCCTGTTTCAACATTCACACATATCTCAACAATTAAACCATACATTTCCAGTAAAAGATAAGATAGTGACTTAACAAATGCAGGTAAGTTACTTGGGGAAAATTTTCACAAATACTCAAATGGATAATACTTGGTTGGGTAAATGTAAACCAGCACATCAATCATGAACTAGTAAATATGACCTCAGAAAATGTAATTCAATAATTGATCAATTAGTAATCACAAACCTAAGGTCACTAATGAGAAAACCAATTTATTGTTTACATAGTAAGAATGAAACATGTGCCTCAAATACATTAAGATTGTGGGATACCGGATATATGTGCACAGCAAATATTACAAGTCCAAGTCGGAGTTTCATACAAATATGGCCAA